TCTCAACTCTCTTAATGGTTACATGCTTTCATCTTTTTATATCCATGTCCCAAACCAGTAGAATCTGCCAGATTATAATCTGAGTTCATTAACTCTATTTTCATCTTCTTCAGATTAGAGGACATCCTATCAATTGAAATGTTTTCCTTCAATGACTGACTTTTCATTTCTGTTGGTTTTTCTGAAGTCATTTTAGACTATTTTTGTTAAATTTCCATTTCTTGGATGAGAATTAGTTCCTCATTAAAATCCTTGAGACTCTTATGCTAATTTATAAATATTTTTCAGTCTTTCATAATTTTAATCTTCCCAGATTAATTTCATCTTTCAATTTTTGTCTGTTTGCTAGCTTTAAATCTCTTTACCTGTTACAGAAGTGTTAGTTTCTTTTCAGCGATTAAAAGAACTGACTTTCTTTTTCTCCCTTCTCTCCATTTTGCTCTCTATTTGTACTTACCCTTTCATAATGATCAGCACTGAAGCAATTTCCTCTGTCCCAGGTCTCCAGGTCTCCCATGCCAGTAACCCCAGGATCTCCTAGGACAGGTTTTCCACTTATGATTCAGAAAATCTCTCTGATATTGAATCCACAGATCCAGATCTGAGTATATAACCTCATTTAGGTCCAGTTGTGAGACTGCATATTACCACCAGACTCTTTAAACATATAGCTTCATGAAAATGGAGCTTCAAACAGCATCAGCCAACAACCTCAGTCAGTACCATTTTGTCAGGAAACTTTCCACTGCCCATGATTTTAATAGTGAGTTGGCTTTTATCTCCCATCTGACAAAAAGCTTTTAGTCTCTGTTATCTTACAGGTCTGCTTCCAAATATATATATGTTTGGAACTTATAGAGCTTATACCATTCTTAGGTGCATAGTTGATACATGGTCATTCATTTATTTTTTTTTTCCCTCATGAACGGTATAACTCTTTGAGAAAAGAACATTTTATACACATTTATCCTGCTGTTTAACCTTGAAGAACTTTTGCAGAAAGGAAGCAATATGAGAGTTCTAAAAATATTTTATTTATTTAGATGTTCTATAAGTTGTCTTTCCAAAAGAAGATGGGTAAAAAGAAAGGCATAAAGTTACATAAGGAATATGCATATTCTATACACAGACACACATATAAAACATGAATGTGTGTGTGTGTGTGTGTGTGTGTATAATCTAGTGAGTTGAATCAAGAAAATACTTAGCTGACATAACTGACTCATCAGGATGAAGTTTCAAATAATAATTAAATTGCACCTGTATTTTTCATTTGATAACCTCTTTATAACTTCCAAACATGTAATTCAATGCTTTTAGAAGATTATATGAATATATGACATTTCTTAACCTCTCTGAAAAAATAGGCCCTTAACCCCAAATCTTATGTTAATATCCAACTTTGTAAAATCTGCTTTAAAAATTATATAAAGCCATAACATGTTCTATATTAAGAATACTATTGGTTTGTTAAAATGGCCTTTTAATTATTATTTACTGAAATTTTAATTATAATCCACTTAAATTATAAATTACCCCATTACCATTCCATTCTTCTCCTTTGCTTTCTTTGTTTTACAATATATAAATATGCTAGAAACCTCTGTGCAGAGAGATAGAAGTTCAGTTCACCTGTCTCCTGGCAGCAGTTGGTATCAGGTTTGCATAAAAGAAGTTTTCTGAATCCACAGTAGCATTAGGCTTATTTCTTCTATGTTATATTGTCATTATAAATTTCACTTATGTTCATTTTTATTTAGAAATAGTACTGTGTTAATTTTTATTATAAATTTGATTTAAGTTTCAGAAGTAATAGTAAAAGTTTTAAGAGATGAACACACTCGTGATCCTTGCTATGTATAGTTAAATTTTCCTATAATATATTTCTTCAGCCTAGGTGAAGCCAGTTTGGTCTGTGTTCTTCTACTCTTTAGGTAACTTCATGTCTGTGTGACTTTTCCCATTATAGCATCTGTTTTGGTGATTGGAGGCTTAACAGGGGCAGTCCAGGTGGCAACATCTTTAACCTTTCTTCACTTTGCTAAGTTTCATTTGCATTGTTTATCTCCTTAGAGTCTTTTGTTAAAATTTTTTTTTCTGAGTTTCAGCTCATTTAACATTTCTATATTTTTGAACAAAATGCTTCGAATTATATACAATCAACATTGATAACTCTCTATTTCCTTATTCCCATTCCGTTTTTTTATTCAAAATTGAGGGCTAACATGAAACAGGAACTATGCTGGGTGCTGGGGAGTCAAGCGTTGTAAACAGCCACAGACCTGAACTTGGACTTCTTTGAGAGTTGTCTACTCAGCCACCCTTAGGACCTTCCCCTCCTCAGCATGAGTGCCAGTACCAGTAACAACCAGAACTACATTTTAGAGAGGCTCCCAAAGCTCTTGAATCTTCACTCTCTTTAAAATCATCATGCAGTCCCGCCTATCTTTAAAAAACATTTTCTTTAAAATCTTTCTTAGTCTAGGGTAAGCACCTCACTGTAGCTCTCGCTGCTTTCTTACATATGTTCTAAATACAATGATTTTCTCCCAGTCCATCAACTAATCCCTTTCCCACATCTCTCCACCTCCAGGCTCCTCCAGACTCACACCATGCAGTTCGGATTAGCACTATTTCAGTTTCTTGTTTTATCCCAGGGGGGGGAGGTTGGCAGATGACCCTCCAAATTGCCTGAAATGGGAAATGGAGGGATACAGGGTCTTGAGGATATTCCAAGTTTGGGGTTCTGTATTCTCTACCCCTTTCAGCATTTTCTTTTTTGTAAGTGATTCAGAACCATCAGGGTTAGAATTGACATTTACCCCAAGACTGTTATTGGGGGACTCAGACTAAATAAAATGTTTAGGTTTAAGTTTTGAGGAAGCATTGAGTAATTCATCAGCTCAACAAATATTTTTTGTTGAACTGTATAATGCTCCAAAGCCTGCTATAGGCCATTTCTCTGCTCCACCTGCTTAGTATAACCATGTTTTTTCATTACTAAATATCCTTCAGTTATTGTATCTAAATACAAACTGATGTCTATCACTCAGTAAGTTATTATATACAAAATGTGCACTATTATATTTATTTTACATAATGCATATTTTGTCATGGCAATAGAAAATTCTGACTAATATGTTATTAGTTGTTCAAAAGAATTTTTAAATTAGTATCTACTCTTATTAATGAGCATTTAGCATAGTGCTTGATTTATTAAAAGCATTTAATAAATATTGAGTTACTTTAATATTATTGAACAATTCAACTGATCATTAGGAAGCAGTCAAAGTTTCATTATTAAACACAAAAATATTTAAACTATTTTAGTATTTATTTTCACTTAACATGATGAAACTATTTTTTTATTTGTTGTGTACTCCTCAAATTTTAATATTCAGTGGAATAAAGGATACTTTAGGATGATCCCTAATTCAGAGATGGCTAGACAAGTTAAGCACATTGAGTCAATAACTTGTCTTTGGTAAAAGGTGCATCCAAATTAAGTTCTGATTAAAACTTATCTACTCTGTCCTCGAAATTGAACAGTGTTTCCATTTTGTAACTTCTAAAGATGATTGAAAGCCTTTATATTTGGAAAAGTTTTTTTTTTCTAATTTATAACATTAATATTCCCTGCTAATACAGAGACCTATTCTTTTATTTTCTGAAATGAAATTCACTGATTCCTCACAATTCTTACAATACATGTTTACATATTTGAAAACATTCCAAGTTCTCTATGTTCCTTTTAAGTCATAAAAAAGATTAAGCATCTCATTTATTAGATTGGGGACAAGGCCGTTTGTATTACTTTGCTGGTGACAGCAGTTATAGAATTTTAAAACTAATGGCATTCATTGCATTGCTGGATGTTTAGGGAAAAACAAAATGTCCACTTGAACTGAAATACAGGATGTGCAATTTTTATAGAAAGAATTCGGGAATGGAATGAGAAAAAAGTGAGCTAGATCAAAGCAATAATAACAATAATTGTATGATAAAAAGTTAATAGTTTTTTACATTTTTAAAAATTGAGAAAGAAAATGAGAGGACATTCTTTGGCATGACAGTTAAAAAATTAAGCTGGAGTTTTAAAGGGAAACTGTAAATCAAATTGAAAACAGAGTATTGACTTATGGTAAACATTAGTGATGATTCTGATATAGGTGATACTCATTCCATTTGTGAATGAGCAAGGAAATTAATGATGGAATGTTGACTGATGTAGATTATGAGGTGCTGGAGAGCAAAATCCCTCTTACTCATCAATGTTTGCCTGGCTACTGATAAGAGGTGGACGCTTAATGAATACCTCCTGACAGGGAGCAGGAAAAGCATAGACAGCCCCGAGCCCCAAAACATTGAGCCTCAGTTGCTTCCACTACACTGGAAAATACCCTTCCTCACTTCCATTACACTTCAATCCATCCACTCTTCCTTCTGTTTTGTCTCCCTTTATTCAAGTACCTCCTTTCTTATTCTACCATATGTTGTCCAAACAAGCACAAATATCTCTACTGTGAATTTTGTCTAACAGACCACAATGGGCACAGTTTAATTATAGTCAATTTCACCTGGCTTTAGTCATCCTGTCATCAACTGTGGCACACTGTGTCCATTTCCCTTCCAACCTCTGTTTTAATCTTATCTAATATATAAATTACCAATGCTAACTACTTATAAATATATGGAGTGAGATGTACTTATGAGGTAATTTTTCATGTATGTAGTTTTTATTTTTCACATATATTGTTTGTATGATACATGATTGTGTGCATATATTTATGTATATATAATATGTAGACAAATTACACAAGTGTATGTATATTTTTTTACTTTTTCTCATATAATTAAAATAATGATGAGGCCTTCCTGAAAAATATTATCTTCTAAAATTTAGTATAGAGTTTCATGTCTTGTCTGTGGTCTACTATATATATTTATAGATATTTTCTCTATGTATGTACATTTTTTTTTGTTTATTTTATATTTTGAAGGGTCACATGATAGCATCCTGTGATGCTTGCGGGGTTATAAAACTGTGGGACTTTCGGAAACTCTTACCAATTGTATCCATTGATGTTGGACCAAGTGCTGGCAATGAGGTGAACTTCGATTCATCAGGTAGGATAGTTTTGCTTTAACTTTTGTAACCAAACTGAAAATGTTAGTATTTGTTCTGAAACTATTTTGCTTCCCCTTAAATTTTCTTGTATTTCTCCATGTGTAACTTTGTTCTTAACATTATATTAAAATGTGTTACAATATATTACATTTGATCCAAGTTACATATCAAATATTATATTATGTAGAATTATATTAATCATATAGTTAAAGAAAGAAGCAGGATGTGAAATGTGTGTGTTAATATAGATGACACAGGTTTGCTGTCACATATGACCACAGAGCCCACATCCTGTGGAATCACCATCCAAGGTAAGCAAATGAGGTTTTCTGAAGCAAAAATAACTGAGAATAGAGAAGAACAAAAGTTTGGTAAAAATAAACTTAAAACATTTTTAATATTTTAGTCATAAAATTTAATAAATTGCTACATGTTGTCCAGATTTTACATTTAATTTGAAAAGTATATTTATCTGATTATTGCAATTATGTGCTTAGCATTCTGTAACATTGTTGTATAATTATGTGAAACACTTTTCTGCACTGATATAAACATTATCAATCAGATAATACAATTGCATCTGTATCTTTAATGAAAGCTTTTGCTAAATAAAGAATATCCTTTGCTAGGGAGATATAAGTTTTAAACTTAAAGTGTTCAGAATTTTTTAAATTCTTCAAGATAACTTTGTTTTATCTGATATATAAATTACCAATGCTAACTACTTACAAATTTATGGAGTGAGAGGTACTCATGAGGTACTTTTTTCATGTATGTAGTTATTCATGGTAGATCAAAATTTTAGAAACGGCAAAAACTTCAATTTTGGAAAAGTAAAAAAGAATTTATATGGAGGAAATAATTTTATTTTTAAAAGTATTCTATGTTGGGCTGGGTTGTGGCTCAGTGGTAGAGCGCTTACCTAGCATGTGTGAAGCACTGAGTTCAATCCTCAGGACCACATAAAAGTAAATAAATAAAATAAAGCAACAACAACAAAAGTATAATTCTAGTTATAAGGTAATTGCTGTATGTCTCTTGGGACTATTTTCATGATACTGTCATCATACATCTGAAATTTAGAAAATGGTAAGTTTTTTTTTTTCTTAAAATTGAAGCTATGTGCCTGAGGTTGTGGCTCAGTGGTAGAGGGCTTGCCTTGCATGTGTGAGGGTACTGGGTTCGATCCTCAGCACCACATAAAAATAAATAAACAAAATAAACATCTTGTGTCCATCTACAACTAAAAAAAAATATACATTTTAAAAAAATTGAAGCTATGTTCTCATTGTAAATCAGTATAAAGCCACCCTAACAACAATGGCTCCTGTTATTCTTGGGCATAAAGTGTTCCCCAACAAGCTTCTGTGACAGAAATGTTCATGGCTAAAATGACAGAATTATGAGATATGTAACCTAATCATTGAATTGACATATTGGATGAATTAATAATTTAAAAGGATTGGTAACTGGGCATGGCTGGAGGAAGTAGGTCTCAGGGTGTTTCATCTTGTTCCCCTGGCTCCTCTCTGCTTCTCACTGCCATGGGCAGATAACCTTCCTCTGCCATACCCTTCTGCATGATGACTGTTTGACTTTGGGCCCAGAGCAATGCAATCAGCTAATCATGGACTGAACTTCTAAAACCATGAATCAAAATAAGTTTTTCCTTTCCTAAGTTGTTCTTATTTGGAATTTTTGTCACAGTAACAAAACAAAACAAAAAAAAAAAATGACTAACAGAGCTCCTTTAAAAAAGTTTTAGAAACATTCTTGACATTAGGACATTTATGGTCTGCCAGAATTCAAAAAGAAAACACTGTACAAAATAAGAGATCCTAACTATAATAATTTTACTTTATACTGTGAAAGGTTATTAATATATAATTTATATTTTCTGACATGGAAATCTACACCAACATCATAGCTCTAAATTTAATTTGGTTCTCATAAGCATCTCACATCCCTAAATCCTTTCTTATTATCTTGAGCAAGCACTTAACTATTCATACCTTTGAAACTGAACTCTGAAATTTTAAAACTTTTGGTTGATCTTTCTAGTAATAAATGTTAAAAGCTATTTTGAGATACTTTGCTACTAAAATAGCTGTCTATTTTATTGTCATTATTAAATATATTGTCACTGGCTTTTTACTGACCTTGTTATCCAGCTGGAAAGTTCATTGTATAGTCAGACAATCATGATTTTAAATAAATATCAGTATCCATCTTCTGTCAATACAATGTTAAAATTCTTGGTACAATGAATGTATTTTTTCTCTCCATGACTATTGCATTCCTGGTAATATGATAATATTATGGAAAGTGCAGAAGATCAAGGGTGGAACAATAAGGAACAAAAGACAAAGAGTGTAAACTAGAGCCCTTGCTAATAAAAATGCTTTGTTGGTCTAAGGGAATAAAATTACAACCTGACCTTCCCATCCTTTTGACCACTTCTTCAAGGAACATGAGATAATTAGTTTTAATTCTATGTGCTTGAGAAATTAGTGTCATAAGGCTTTTCTCATTGAATAATGAGAAATCTGTGCTTCTGTACAGTAGTCCTCAATGACTCTTCATTTAAAAAGATTGAAATATATCAAAAGTGGGCGAAACTCAGGAGAGCAAACACAAAGTCTAATGATAGCATGAGCAGAGAGGTGAAAATCACAAAGCACCAGAAATTATGTCTCTCTCAAGAGAATAAAGAAGACTGTAAACCCAGAGCCAAACAAAAGTGAAATAAGGATGGGGACACTTACATCTTTTCTACTTGGTATTTATTCAGGAAAGGATTATTTAAAAGAGAAGTATAAGAATTAAATTGTGAAAATATATGGAATCTAAAAGTAAAATCAAATGAAAAATAGTAAATTCAAAATATGCATTCATGTGAATATACTTTTACTTATTCCCAATGGCAAGTCAGTACAAATCTATTAGATATAATAATTGTCCAAGATTCCAGAATACATTGACACTGCTGACAGTAATGAACATTGTTGAGTGCTCACATTAATTAAGTTGTGTCCAACCATGTGTCCTGGTAAAAATTCTTTGATGGAATTAAATTGTGTATTTATGTACACTCAGAGCATTACTTGTGACTACTTCCCAGTGTGAGTGGAGGGTCTGGTCGATTATCTTAGCTGTGCTCTTGGATCTGAGTAAAAGTCATTGAAAACATACATGTATTATCATCACAATATATACTGGTAATACATGTAAATTTATGGATAGCATCCAGTTGTTCGATATTCTAAGTGACCATCATAGAAATTAAAAATTTCTAATCATATTTCATATTTCTGGATCAGTTTAATTGAAGGGCATATTGAGATGCCTCTTAGCATAGTCATCTGCCATGTTTTATCCTAGAGCTGGAAGATATGACGTATCTTAAAAAAATGTTTCCACATATAATGACCAATTTTTATAAATAAGAGATTTCTCATCACTGCAAATCCAACACAATATAGAAATGAATTATAAATGAAGGCCATAAAAATCTGAAACTGTTGTCCATTATCTTTCATTTCAAATTTTCATGTATATCAAAATTGCTTCATTATTTATTAAGCTCATAAGCAAATATTTCCATTTTGCATTTATAAAAAGTAAATATGTTCTACTGAATTGTACTTTATCTGTTTTAAAATTAATATTCCCAATAGCATATCAATTAGCTTTGACAAAAGTATTTGAAAACCAGAGGTATAGAAAAAGAATACAGGCCATAATTCAGACCGTTAGGTTTAATCACATATTCAGCACCTTTCAGACTTTAGGCAAATTATTTAATCTCCCTGAACTAATATTCATCATAGAAATAACGAAGGAGATAATTGTTGTGCAGTTATTATGTGGATTCAAATGGATGGCAGTATCTTACGGTCATAGAGAAAGAGTATCTCCAAAGAAGGGATTGAGGAGTTCCCAGAGAGAAGGCAGGGAACTAGACATATGTGGTGGAAAAGAATTCCAGCACATGCCCATCAGAGGCATATAGAGATTTATTTTGGAAAACAGATACACATTTAGACAAGAATGTGGGCTCTCTCAAGAGACAGATGTGCTTTTGGGTTCACAGCACTTCTTTTAAAGGAAACTTGGTGAGGGGTGGGTATGGAAAAATACCTAGGAATAATATCCGTCTGATGATTTCAAGATGGTTTCTGGTGGTCTTATGCCTCTGGATCCTTAGCTGATGTGGTCTTCATTATCTGGTTAGTAAATAGTGCTGGAAATTCCCTTGTCTCTCATAATCTGATTATTGGGGCTTTAATCAATACTGCACAGGTAGATTTACAGATTTCCCAGGAATCTGGCAGTGACAGGGCTGGAAGAGAGGCTGGCCCAGAGAATGATAGGCGTGGAAAAGCATGTGGAACTCCTAAATTAAAAATCTTATTTCCATGTCCTTCCTGTATTTCTTATTTCTTTTATCCTACGCCATCACAGTAAAGAACTCTTAGCACAGTCATCTGCCATGTTTTATCCTAGAGCTGGAAGAGCTCCCAGAGGTTGTCTTGTTCATTTTAGGAATAAGAAAGGTGAGTCAGCATATCAATATGCAAGATGCTTGAGGCTGTGTGTCCCTGTGGAATATTTCTATTGACCACGTGAATACCAGTGAATAAATATTAAAAGAAACAAAAGCCACAACCACACTCTCATGTCATAGTAAGTATAAATTAAATGGTTAACTAAGAAGTAAGTTACATATAATATGATACGAATCACCATCTAGGGTTGAGTTCTGTTGCTATATCAGCAGTCACACATTTAAGAGAAGTTGCATGTGGCACTACATTATTTAAGTAATGTTTTATTTGCAGATACATTACTTGTGACAAATATGGATAATCTGTGTGTATATATATATATATATATATATATATATATATATATATATATTTATAACTCTGTGTTTGTAAAGGGATAAGTGTTTCTTTCTCATTAAACAAACAGCGTCCCAGTAGTAAAAAGCCACAGA